ACTCCAGGGTAGTCATTATTTCCACAAAGGGAGTTGTTAATAACGCCCTGACGTTTCTCTTGAAGGTCAATTACCGCACTTTTGGACAGCAAGATCGCAGAGATTTTGAGAATATCGATATGGTAAGGTCTTATTGATGAAACCTTTACAGCAGGATACCGTTTTTACAGTCAAGCTACTCCTTGTCAGCGTTGAGTAGTAAGTGTTGAGCAGCTTTCTTCCACAGATAGCGGTTTTCGAATATCAATGACAATAAGATAGTTATCCTTGCGTGGGTGAGGTAGCCACCAGTTTCCCGGTTTTTGGTTATTTCTGCTCGCTACGATTGATCGGGCAATTAGCCCCCCCCCCCCACCAGCACCAAACAAATGGAAATATAAAAATATGTCAACGAACAATTGCAAAGGGTACTTCTGATTGTTCACTTGAGCATACTAACCAGAGACATGCAGCGCATGGCGCTTCTCCTGTACTTGGCGCCGCATTAGGGGGGAAGGGTGACGAATCTTGGGGTTTCGTTACTAATTCTTCGTTCTGCATCGGTAATGAGAACGCTTTTTTATCCACTCTCGATGGCAAAGTTTTTCTCACTTTCGATGATTAATCGGTATTACTGGGATGAACCCTGTAATCGGTTTCCATTCACTGAAAATTTCTTCTCATCATGAATCTTTTGTACGACTTGTGAGCCGATATTGCTATTCTGAGGGCTGCAATCAAATAAAAGAAGTTGCTAAAATACGCTTTTAGCAACACGTACTAGTTGTAGAGTAAGCTGAAAACGTGGGAAACAACCTGGTTTCACAACTAGCTCAATTTTATAGTTATTTTATAAAATACTAGCGGCCGTTGGTTATATGATAGTTCGGATGTTACACTTATTTCGGTTCTCATAATCGATTACCTTTCCCACTAATACGGCGAACTTTTATTTCGCTCCGCCTATTTCCTAATCCCACCCATTTATAAAGCACGGCAACTTTTCTGGGAAAATTATAACCTATGACGCCACTCTTTAAAACACCCCGAATGATGTTTCATAAACAATGTGCAGCCTTAGAATGATCCTGTTCTGCAGCTTTTTACAAAAAAATAAGCTCCTCCTTCTCCAGTGAAAGTACATCTTCAAACAGGGATTAAGCAGATTCCCTCACTGGATGAAAAGCGCTAAATTTCCACAACGACTTCTTCGTGTAGGGACTCATACCACGTCTTACGTTGGGAATCCCCAGAGGGAGAGGGTCGTGTTTGGTTGCTGGATCGAGGGAGGTGGTGGTATTTGGTCGCTGGGGGAGGAGGAGGGAAAGGTCGTATGTAGTCTGAAAAAATTTCCGGTAGTTGATTTTGCCTGTTTCACGATTTTCCCTGTTTCACGGGCGCTATCTACATCGTTGAGAAAATTCTTAGGGAAGAGGAGGGGGGGGGGTCGTATTTGCCTTTGAAGGAGGACTTGCTACGTTGGGGAAATTTTTTCGCAATTTTTGGCTTTCAAGGCTTTTTTGTTTCACATGTGCTATACCCCCTCCCCGCTCGACAGCAAAATTTTGGGGAAAAACGAGAAAGTTCTCGAGAGAGGAACTGGAACAGTAGTAGGAAAATGGGAAAGTCCAAGAAAACAGTAGATAGGATGAGGAAGGGAGATCGTATAAGAGGAGGAAATTAGGGTAGGTCGTATGTTC